TCATTTCAGTAACCATGAGAGTAAATCAAAATAGAGTGAACTGAATTCCAGATTGTGTAATTATTTAATGTTTATTGAATATCACATTAGGTGCTAAAATGAATCTTGTTAGGTCCTTCTGCTACCCGGGGAATATGGTCTAATTAAGAAGACAACCTTGGAAGAGATGAAAACAGCATTAAATCAATCAGCAGCTGTCTTTAAAGAGTCTACAGCTGTCCATATAGAGATTTATAGATTAACTGCAGCACTTTGAATGATAGTGAGAAGATAATTGGCAGCAGGTGCAAAATTCAGAGTGTGAATTCCTGTTGTCTTAGGCATTTGAACTCTAGTAGGTGGGTGGCCTGTTCTTGTCCTTCTGAAATTTTATGCTAACATAAGGGTGTAAACTTGATTAAAAGTCCTATGTGTAATTCAGCACTTTTCAAAGCTATCTTCAATATTCATAAATTTATAAAAATGATGATATTTTCAGTTAGCTACATAGTAAGTGTAGAGTTTTGTACAACCCGGGGAAATTCAGCCAGCTATTTACATGTCTGTTAAGGTGATTCTCAAACCTTATCATTGAAATATCGTTTCTGCTGTTTCCAAACTTGAAGAAGCCTGAATTTTTCTTGAACACCTCTCATCTTCCCCCTTTATTTCTCCCTCTCTCTGTCTCTCTAGGTCTTTCCTCACATTTCTTTAAGTAATTTTTTTTAAATAAAGCTGTAGCACAGTAGCATAATCCTCCCATTGTTCATTGATTTGCTCGAGCTTGAAACTATTCTCTAAGAGTTTGTTCACTGCAGCACCGTTTACAATAGCCAGAATCTGGAAAAAACCTGAGTGCCCGAGAACAGATGACTGGTTAAAGAAACGTTGGTACATCTACACAATGGAGTATTATGCAGATGTTAGAAAGGATGAAGTCATGAAATTTACATACAAGTGGTACTACATGGAAAGTATCATTCTAAGCAAAATGAGTCAGAAAGAGAGGGACAGACATAGAAAGGTTGCATTCATCTGGGGAACATAAAGTAACAAAATAGGAGTCTAACACCCAAGAAGAGTCAAGATAAGTACCAGGAGGTTTACTCCATGGCTTGGAGGCCAGCCACACATGCTAGGGGAAAAGGCAGCTCACATAGAGAAGGGCGCACCAAGTAAAGGGTGTTGGGAGGATCCACCCAGGATGGGAGAAGCATGCTGAAAGTAGACTATAGACCGAACATGATTGCCACCCAATGCCTCTATTGCAAATCACAGCACCCAAAAGGAGAGAGAGAACAAAATGGAATGCCCTGCCACAGAGGCAGGGTGGTATAGGGAGTGGGGGTTGGGAGTAATACTGGGACCATTGGTGGTGGAAAATGGGCACTGGTGGAGGGATGGGTACTCGATCATTGTGTAACTGAAACCCAAGCACAAAAATTTGTAAGTCTACAACTGTACCTCATGGTGTTTCACTAATAAAATTTTTTTTAAAAGTATTTTTTCTTAGAGATTTTCAGTTAAAATTTTTAGAACTTTGTGCATATGCATGTGACTGGAACAAAAATATTTGTTTAAAAAGAAAATGCCATATTTTAGTATTGAAAAATACATGTTTTTAAATTAAACTGTGTATGCTAAAGGAAATTTTTTTCAAAATAATATATGTATTATTATATTTTTTGGCACATAAATATATATTTATATGCATACATATAAAAGAATATATATTGTCTGGAACAAAGAGTCCTAAAATAAAAAGCGAAGATTTCTTTTGACTTTGTATTCATTATAGTAAATTAATGATTTATCGAGTAATATGCTAAAATATACTTTTATTTGTAATATACTTTTAGAACTAAATATTATTTATGTAAGAGATCAAATAATAAGGTGTGCCACTCAAGGGGGTTTTAGATGCTGAGCAAATTTGTATTGCTGAGCAAAGTTGCATGAATTTTTTTACTTACTTTTCATTTTATACTCATCTTGATTTTGATGTCAGATCTGTTTCCTTTTCATGTTCACTGTATTCATTCCCTATAGTCACACTTCTTTTCCTGAACATTGAGCTGGAATTCTGAGTTTACCTCATATTCCTGTGAACTTCTGCAGACTACTGAGCTCACTGAGTCACAATCGACTCATCTTTAAATTAGTGTTATCAGTAGCTTCTGCCTCACTGTGGTTCTGGGAAGATTGGGTGATTCAGTGCTTTTGATGTTGTCAAGTTAAATGTAGTTAAAGGATATGTATGGTTGTATATTTTTTAAATCTATATTTGCTCATAGTGTGAAGCCAAGTTTATCTTATTCCTTTATACAAGTACGCTTTCTTTGCTAAATAAAGGGTTTATGAGGTGATCAAGTACTTCCTGAACAGTGTGCATATCCGTCTTTACATCAAAATATTTTTCAACTTTATATTAGGAACAAGGGAGATGGTAGAGCCAAAAAGCATTTGCTTCACATACAACTGACCCGTGTTTAATCCCGCGGCATTCCGTATGATTCCCCAAAACCTCACCAGGAGTAATCCCTGAGTGCAGAGCCAAGAATAATCCCTGAACACATCTTGATGTGGCCCCACAAAACCGAACTAAAACAAAGAAAGACAAACTGTTTTAACCACCATGATTTACAGTTTTACAATATTGGCAATGGTAGGGTTTCCTGCATGCAACATTCCAACACCAGACCTGCCACTCTAGTCCCCATTTCCCTCTACCCCTTTCTCAGGCTTTCTTTTCACGAATTCCACCCAACACCTTTGCCCACCCTGCATCACTGTCGCTGTCATCCTCCCCACATCTCACTGTCCTGGTGAGTTTGTTCTATAAATCAGATCTTAGATTCTGTTGCTCTGGGTCATACTTTGTTTCCTTGTTGGGGCATTTTATTTTCCACAGATGAGTGAGATCTTTCTGTATCTGTCTCTCTTGCTGGCTGGCTTTCAGGCAGCAGGATATCTTCCAGCTTCGTTCACATAGCAGCAAATTGTATTATTTCATTCTGTTTTGCTTTTGCTTTGGGGACTCACACCAAGCAGTGCTCAGTGATCACTCCTGGTGGGCTCATGGGACAGTATGGGGTGCCAGGGGGATTCAACCCAGGTCAGCATATGAAAGGCAAGTGCCCTGACCACTGAACTTTCTCTCTGGCACCAATCGCATCTTCTCTTGAGCCAAGTAATTCCATTGTGTATCTGTATCAGAGTTTTCTTACTCAGTTAATTGTTCTTGGACATTTGGAGCTGTTTCCAGGTTTGGCTATTGTGAATAGTTCTGCAGTAAACAGAGGAAGGCAAATGTCTTCTCTAAATAGAGTTTTTGGGACTTTATGGTAGGAGCTCAGAAGTGGGATAGCTGTGTCCTCTGGAAATTCAACTCTTAGTTTTATGAGAAGTGTCCATACTGTTTTCCAGAAAGGTTGAAACTGTTCTACACCACATCCACACTAACACTGTTTCTTTTCTTTTCCTTTTTTTTTTTTTTTTTTTTTTTTGCTTTTTGGGTCACACCTGGTGATACACAGGGGTTATTCCTGGCTCTGCACTCAGAAATTACTACTGGTGGTGCTTGGGGGACCATATGAGATACTGGGAATTGAAACATGGTCGGATACATACAAGGCAAACACCCCACCTGCTGTGCTATTGCTCCATCCCCATCATGTTTATTTTTCTTTTGTGATGTGAACCACTCTCTGGTGTGGAATAATATCTATTGTTTTGATTTGTGTTTTCCTGATGATCAGTGATGCAAAACATTTTTTTCATTTATCTTTTGGTACTCTGAAAGCCTTCTTGAGGGAGCTTATATTTACCTCTTCTCCTCATTTTCCCATTGGTTTGGTTTTCACTTGTAAAGTTCTACCAATGCTTTATATATCTTGGAACTTAACCCTTTGTCAGGTGGGTAGTGGCTATTTTTTCCCCAGTCAGTGGGGTCTCTTTTGTTCCAATTCTCATTTTTTTGCAGTGAAGATGCTTCTTAATTTAATATAGTTTTACTGGTTTCTCTTTGTTTCCTATTGTTTGACTGACCACACTGAATCATTGAAGATAACTTCAGATTCTATGTCACATGTGATTCTGCCTACATTTCTCCTATATAATTTATAAATTTTGCTTCCATATTTTTGTTTCTTTGCTTTAACCATGAATGTACGTTGTAGTTTTAATTAACTATTTGGTTTTGGGACCATACATCACAGTGCTCAGGGCTTACTCTTGGATCTGTGCTCAGGAAGATCACCACTCTTTGGGAGAATATGGGGTGCCTGTGAATGAACCTGGGTCAGCCACATGCATATTTACTTGATAAATCATTAATTTACTATAATGAAAACAAAGGCAAAAGAAATCTTTGCTTTTATTTTAGAACTCTTTGTTCCAGACAATATATTCTTTTATGTATATGCATATAAATATATGTGCCAGAAAATGTAGTAATAATACTTTGTTCCAACACCATGGATGTATTTTAAATCAGTGCTTGAAAGTTTGGAGTCAGTATTACCTGAAATGATTGAATTAACTGTTTATTACACTTTAAATTACAACTGAATTGAAACTCCCAAAGTTTCAATATTTTTCAGGATTCATGGGACAATACAATTTCACATTCTATCCTATCACTATTTCTATGTTACTGGAGTTAGATGGCAGATTCATTTTATGGGAACAAGTTTCCAAATAACCATGGGAACTATGTATGTGAAGTATTCAGTTCACATCTGAGAATTCCATCTTTACATCACCTCTCCTTTGCTCCTTCCTACTCTTGGTGGAAGTTTTGCCCCAGGCATTTAGCGTTCAGGATTTATGGGTACATTAACTATGTACTTCAATGGGAGGTATACTATTTCAAAATATGAACTTGTATTTAGCATATAATTTAAATATACAGGCATAAGTCTATATTTAAAATACCAATAACCGAGAAGTTGGTGCAATTTAAAGTCTAGTGTATGTTCAAAATCTATCATTGAGTAACAGAATTGTCTTCCTCCTTGCAGAACATGACGAATGTGTCACAAATCAGCACAGCTGTGATGACAATGCTCTCTGCTTCAACACTGTCGGAGGCCACAGTTGTATCTGCAAGCCGGGCTACACCGGGAACGGAACGACATGCAAAGGTAGGATTTTTCCACGCAGCCTAATGCTCTTTCTCTCTATCTACTCCCCTTTTAGATGTCTTCTTCATGGCCAGATTCCAGATCTTTTTGGGTCACACCAAGCAATGCACAGGGGTTATTCCTGGCTCATTTACTCAGGAATTACTCCTAGAGGCGCTCAGAGGACCATATGGGATGCTGGGAATCAAACCCGGGTCAGCCGCATGCAAGGCAAATGCCCTACGCACTGTGCTATCCCTCCAGGCCCCAGTAGACTATTTTAGAATATGGTCACAGAGTTTCTTTTAACTCTTGCCATATTATTGGGTTTTATCAGTACTTTAGCTATGTGAAATATTTAGCATAAACTTCATTTTCCCTGATCCCAATCCCATTGGTTTTGTCTCTGTTCTCCTTTCGTACATATGGATGATCACATCCTGAGAATTTTAACACACAGCTGTTCTATCACTGACATTTTAAATTCAATATTTTTTGCCTAACCACAAGTTTTCCTGCTTTCATATTCCTAAATCTATTTCTTCTATCACTCTTGAGTTTCAATATATTTATAATTTCCATACATTTAAACAAACTCTTCCCAACTTCAGATATTTTATTTTTGTGTTCAAACATGACAACTGGGACTGGAGATATAAGTTGAATGCTTGTTTTTTTTGTGTGTTTTTTTTTCTTTTTCGGTCACATCCAGCGATGCAGAAGGGTTACAGGGTTACTCTTGGCACTCATGAATTACTCCTGATTGTGCTTGAGGGACCATAGGGGATGCTGAGAATTGAATCCGGGTTAACTGCATGCAAAGCAAACGCCCTACCCGCTGTACTATCGCTCCAGCCCCTTGGATGCTTGTCTTGCATGTGGTAGACCCATGTTCGATCCCTAGCACCCCAGATGGCCCCCAAAACCTGCCTTCCAGGAGTGACTGCTGATTGCAGAGCCAGGAATACCTTCCCTGCATTGCCAGGTATGTCTCCAAAACAAAACAAAACACAACAAAACAGGACAATTATCTTAGCAAAGAACATCAGTTATTTTTGACAATTATAATTCCATTGGGAAATATTTCTCTCACGGTTTTTCTTCTGTACTATTTTCTCTTCACTGTTGAGTACTAATTGACTGTGTATATTATGTTATAGATGCTCATTTAAATAGCTTGTCAATACCAGTCAATGAGTCTTTTATATGCTTTGCTGAACTAAGATTTTCATTTTCACCAGTAGGTACTCCAGCTACACTTTGTTTCCCACCATTTATTCACCCTTTCATCTGGATAATCTTACTTTTCACTGCATAAAGGAGAGGATCTTGTTGATTTTCCACCAACTTTCATAATGCATATGTTAATGACTATGTCATAAAAACTTGTTTGTCCAACTCATTTCAACTGCCCTATTGCCCATTCCCTAGATAACACTGCATCCTCATTTCGAAGTTTATTAAACCCTCACACTATGGCACTCTATATGTGGGGGTATGCAGTAATTGGTGGGATTGTTAATGCAGTGGTCCATAAGGATGTGTCTTAAAACTTGATCTATGATAATACATTTGACATTGCACTTGTCTTGCACACAGCCGACCCGGGTTCAATTCCTCCATTACTCTTGGAGATCCCAACAAGCTATCAAGAGTATCCCACTCATATGGTAGAGCCTGGCAATCTCCCCATGGCGTATTTGATATGCCAAAACCAATAACAACTAGTCTCACAATGGAGATGTTACTGGTGCCTGCTTGAGCAAATTGATGAACAATGGGATGACAGTGCTATAGTACTATGAATAAAATAGAGAACCACTCTGGTTTGAAAATGACTATCTGGTATGTACTTTCTCTATATTTCAGATCTTTATATATAACACCATGAAGAAGATCTGCTCATTTGGGGATGCAAACGTCACAAGAATTTCCTTTAAGAAACTAAGCAATTCTTCATAAAAGCCAGACTAATACAGTCCTTAGTAAACTCAACCCTTAGGACTTCTCCAAAGCATCCTGATGCTTTGAGACTCCATTGGGGTTTAATCTTTCTTCTAAAATGCCACAAGTTCTCTTTTTCCACATTATTCTGTCTCCTAATATACTAGTATCCTAATTAGTGAGATGTAAAGAAAACACATACCAGATAACTAGAACATGCTCATCTTGTTTGTTCATGACAGGCCTCTCAGGCTAAAGACCAGCCCTAGCCTTTATAGAGTCTAAAATAAGTTGAAATGGAAACAGATGCTTGTAGGAGATTTCAGCCTGAGTTTTCCACATCTCTTTGATAGAGGCATCATCAAACAATTGCCCTCGCAATAACTTAAGTTTTGGGCTCCTTTTTCTTTAGACACAGCAAAAGTTTTCCCATCACTCACATATACACGCTGTGTAATAGTCTATGTCCTGTTCTCAATTGTGACCTATTTTTACCAAAGGAAGGAAAATTCTTTCTGAAGACAGTGATAGCAATTTTTCTTTCTATTGTCTAATTCTTTAGCAAGGTTGATTTAGAAGTTTTCGAACAATGGTTTATATCATTAATATTTTGTCACTTTGTCCAGTATCTAGAATGGTGAAAACAGGAAAACAGGATAGGATTTATTTTACTTCCTAATTCCTAATTTTGTTCTGTTGATACTGCTTCCTAAGTAAACTGTCTAGAATATCTGTTATTTTGTGATGTTTAATTTCAGGCTGATTACAATGAGATTCAATTCTAATTTTAATGTATTTCCTGTGGTGTAATATTACTGTTTTTGTTCAAAGATAGTTGCTATTTTATTAAGAGGTGAAATAATGCTTCAATATTGAAAGGAGGACTCATAAAAATTTTATATATGAATTATACTATTTATCTGAATTTATAAGTTGTGTAAACACAAAAAAGGGGGCTGTGGCTCTATCTCTCCCACTGCCTGTGTTCGGTAGTCTCACGTCGTTTACCCCACTCTGGGGAGGTCCATGGCGATGGGCAGGTGAAGGAAGGAATGAGGGCCAGACTGGCTGGTGTCAGTTGCAGTTTATTCCAATCTCATCTCCATTCTCCTCTGATTCTCCTCCTGCTTCTTCCTCCCCTATGCTACTTCATTCTCCTCCTCCATCCCCCTTCATCCTCCTTCTGTCTCTGGAATCTGGATCTTCCAGCCCACTCTTACTGTCTCGTTAAATTCCCCAGCATGAGGGGTTGGGGTAAAAATTACACATAGGTGTGGTCACAATCAATAGGGGTAAAGTTCTTTCCATCAGGGGGTACTTCTAGAACAGATACCCATTCAGTAGGATGACCTCCCCAAGAAGCGGAATCCCATGGGTGTGTTTCTCCTCTCCTTGTTCAACAAACATATAAGCATTCATAATATTAATCATTTTGTATGGACACAGTAAGAGATACATTAAACTTATAGAATCGCTATCCTGGGGTCATCTCAATCTCAGACTACAGTGCTCAGGCAGATTAGTCTTTCCTAGTCTAGCAGAGTCCTAGTCTCATTGTTGCTTTAAGATCATGACAGCATTTGTCTATGATCAAGCTCTTAACTTATAGTTAAGAATTGTGGCACTTTGGCCTGGTCCCTTTTGATGCCAGGGTAGCTCACAGCTTCCCCTGGGTTCATTCAGTCTCTCATCGGGACCCTGCTTCTGGGATGCTAGGAACTAAGGGCAACTAAGGTTAAGTTGAGAAAGCAGATGTGCAGGAGTGAATAATATTTGAAGCCAATAAATCTTAAGTTACAAAAGCATAATATTAACTGTCTTCCTGTGTCTATACAAAAAGGATATTGTTTTAAAGTAAACTATTCAAAAGACATAAGGGCTGGAGAGATAACACTGTGGGTAGGGCTTTTGCCTTGCACGCGGCTGACCAGGCTGACCTGAGTTCGAATCCTCCACCCCTCTTGGAGAGCCTGGCAAGCTACCAAGAGTATTTCGCCCGCACGGAAAAGCCGGCAAGCTACCCATGACGTATTGGATATGCCAAACACAGTAACAATAAGTTTCACAATAGAGATGTTACTGGGCCTGCTCAAGCAAATCAATAACCAACAGGAGGACAGTGAAAGTGAGGGAATGGAGAAAGGCAATATTAACTTACAAGACATGTTCAGTGTTCTAGAAGGATCTGACCTTACAAATTGACAGAGTCTGATTAGGGGGAAAAACTGATTAACTGGTTGGGGAGGAGAGCATAGAGAAGTGATTACAGATAAACAAAGGAATGGGAGTGACTTTGGAGCACTGTGATGGGTATAACTTAAGCTCCTTATGGCAAGGGAGAAAGGACAAATCAATTGTTATATTGTTATCCTACAATAAGTTATATGAATAAGATTTGTGAATAAGAAATTAAAATACTGCTTGTAATTTTTTATCTATATCTCCAAGAACACAGGAAAAAAATCTTAAACTCCTTGTATCTAAAGTATTGAAATCACACATCTCAATTATTTTAGCATTTTGCAAAGACGGCTGTCGGAATGGAGGAGCTTGCATTGCTGCAAACGTGTGTGCCTGTCCGCAGGGCTTCACCGGGCCCAGCTGTGAAACAGGTAAGAAAATCATTCTGTTTCTGAAAAAAATCGATTTTTACATCACGTATAAAGTAATTTGTGAGAAAAATAATGTTTCACCTTTAAAGCGGGCTCTCCAATTCATGGGGCTGTTACTAACGAGGTACGTGGAGGCAGATGTTGGAAAGTTTCAGTGGTACATATTCACTGGGAATTTTCCAAAAGCCACCCAAGACGATGTTGCAGCTCTTATGAAGCATAGAGAACTTTTTTAAAGAAATGCGTTTAGGATTGCCTAGGATTTTATGACTTCACAATTTATGCTAGTCAGTGCTTGTACTTGGAGTCCATTTTACCCTGAAATCTATCTAAGGTAAACTATAGAGTCTAAGTTAATGGCAAACTCACTAAGGCATACTACCTCCTGCATCCACATTTATGAAATTTTAATAGCTCTTTATCTGGTTCATTCAATATTTATTGATTGATATTTATTTTACAATATTCAAAGTCTTCAATTCCTTCAGTATTCTTCTTCCAAGTACTAGAAGATTGAATTATTGTAAATTGATTCCTTGGTGGGGGCTAGAGAGATAGTACAGCAAGAGGGTCCTGACCTTGAATGTGACTGACCCTGATTCGACCCCTAATATCTCTTACAGTCCCTTGAGCTCTGAGCATCACTGGGTGTGAACCATCCCCAGAAATGCATTTTTCCTGTATTGTTTACAATTTAAAAAAATTTCTGTTAACTGAAGTTCTTCTGTGAATGTTGTTTTGAACATTATCTCCTAATTAAAATCATGTCAGTGTAAGTGTGGTTGCTTGTAGTTCAGTGACATCCAGTAGAACATGACTTGAGGAAGTCTGATTATCTTGCATAAGGAAAAGGTGTTTCCACCAGTGCTTGGGGGTTGTAATCTCTTATTATTTTCTGTTACTCTCAATAAAATAGTCTTTTTTTTTGAAGTAGCCTGTTCTACCTCCGTTACATTGCAGTAGAGTTATCTGGTTAAATAAAACACTGCTCAGAATGAGAATTATAAATGTTTCTATCCATTCCAGACTGAAAATTTTATTAAATATATATTACTATATCTACTCTGCATAAATGTATGCTTACAAACAGTCACTACCAGGTCATCATTTTCTACAAGTGATGTTTCTCAACTTCCAATGATTGTTTTCAAAAGTCTTCAATAGAAAATGCATATCTATGATGTGTGGAGACTCTTTCTTCAAGGAAATATTTTTCAAATTCAAAACTCCCAAGCTTATTATATATTCTGTTTTCCCAGAGAACTTATTAACTTATTTAAAATTAAAATTTCCAGAGACAAGAGATGTAGCTAAATATAGAGTATATATAAAGCCCTAGATTTAATCCCGTCCATATACCCCCAAAATATAGATTTCTGGTAGCTAACTATTATAGAAATGACCTAATAAAAATGAAAATCAGGTGTCTTCAATGAAATGGTTCTCCAGATTTCTATCCCACACTCTCCCCCAGAATACCCAAGACCAAATAGAATTAGGTGCACGAGGACCTCCACTCTGCCAGTACCTCTGGTGACTACTTCCTGAACTTTTGTGGTATTTCTGTGCAGTATAGGTATTGAAAGTCTTTTTCAGGGTCTTTAAATGATGTGGAATTTCTAAATAAAGCCTGTCCCAATATCTAGTTTGAATAATGGTCATATTAAATCCAGCATTTCATTCTTCTCCCAGAAAATCATTATACTGAGATAGTTAAAGTGTGGAATGGCATAAGATTAATCTTAGTAATGTAAATTTAAAACTGGACTTAAAATAACTCACTAGGATACTTAGCCTTTTCTATTTAACTATTCTTGAACTTTCATGTCTAAGAAGATAGTCCCAATATGATTCTAAGTAGTTATAGCAGCCAAGAACTTTGAGGGCAAACATATGTTCAAAATCTATGCAATCTTGGGCAAGTCATATGACTTCTTCATAATCACTTTCCTCTTCACAGCTCTTTTTCTTCATTTGCAAAGTATTATAGGTTCAGAATGATTTTTTTTTCTAAAGTATAACAGCTACTGAATGCAAGTTCCTGGATTTTACTCTCAAGCCTAGATTTTTTATTAGTGGTTTTTTTTTTACATTTTTTGCTCACAGTCACTCTAATGATAAAGAATAGAGTTTTATTCAAGGAGGTCCTGAGGTGTCCCACATGAGTAAATTCGTATATTTGCAAACTATTATATTTTAAGCTAAAAATAACTTTAAATTCTAGAGCATAGAAAATACCTAGTTCCTTCCTTTCCTTTGGATAAAGTTGGTGCTCTCCATCACTGCATCTTAGTTTACCTTTTCCTTCTCAAACACATTGGTCCAAGACCATAGTTTTGCTTTTTTGTAAACAGGGCACTCATGGCTCCTGTTAGAGAAAATGTAGTAATAAAAACTTGTCTCAAAGAGTTTGACCCCAATTCTGCTCCAAGTTATAGTCTAAACCTTCACCTCCCAAAACCATCTCTTGTGTTGATATAGTTCAAAATAAAAATGTGCCCTTTAAAAAAAACATAACTTTAGTTGAGACAGTACTCACAGGAAATAATTTTCAAATCTACCCATGTAAAAATATTTATTATAGCACTGTATAAACTGACTGATGACCTAGAAATAGGTTATCAAAATGAATAAAACTGTGACTCTAAGTTTGTACAGAAATTATAGCCTAGTTGGGTCACGATCATCCTATTGTTCGTCGATTGCCTTGAGCAGGTCCCAGTAACTTCTCCTTCGTCCTAGCCCTGAGATTTTAAAAAGTGCCATATTCAAGGCCCTTTCAGGTTTAGGAGAATGAGAACCATTATTGTTACTGGTATTTGGCATATTGGGTATGCCACGGCGAGTTTGCCAGACTCTGCCATGTGGGCAGGTTACATTTGGTAGCCTGCCAGGTTGTCCAAAGTCAGAATGAGATAATAAGATGTCACGTGGCCGCAAATACAGCCATGTGCTTCCGGGAGCTGGAAAAGTTATAATACCCATGAAACTAGCAGTTAAAAAAAACAAATACACAATGCTAAAACATCTCTAGGAAGAAGACTAAAAATCAATCTGTCTGAAATATATGTCTAAGAAAAATTTTTAAAAGGAAGAAAATTAGGGGCTGGAGCACAGCGGGTAGGGCGTTTGCCTTGCACGCGGCCAACCCGGGTTTGATTCCCAGCAACCCATATGGTTCCCTGAGCACCACCTGGGGTAATTCCTGGGCACAGAGCCAGGAGTAACCCCTGTGCACTGCAGGATGTGACCCAAAAAGCAAAAAAAAAAAAAAACAAAATAAAAAGGAAATTAAAGGATTAAAAAATAGTAGATGAAAATTTGGAAAAAAAAATGATCAGTCCAAACTTAATAGTATTTGCATAGAGAGTAATTGAGAAAAGGGGAATAAGAGAATCCCAAAAGAAATAATTGTATCTAGTAAAGTTCAAAAGTTTCAAGATGTTTGCTTTAAGGACAAGAGAAGACTCTAGGGGCCAGAAAAATAGTAGAGTAAGTGAGAGTATTTGCCCTGTATGGAGCCAACCCTTGTGTGATCTCCAGTACCCCACACAGTCCCCTGCCTCCAGAGCCAGAAATCAGAATGAGCACCACCAGCATGGCCCAAGATCCATGCAGATAAAATTCATCCACCTGCTAGAGACAAAACAAATCAAAGGCCAGAGAGTTGCACAGGCATGAAAATACCTGCCTTGCATCATCAACCCGCGTTTAAATTCTCAGCAACTGGTAGAGTCTCCAAGGCAAGGTCAAGGGTAACTTCTTAGCCCAGAGTCAGGAATATCCTCCGAGCACTACTGGGTGTGGCTCCCGAGCCACACCCACCAAAACAAATCAAATCAACAAACAAATAAAAAACAAAACCCACAAACAAATTTAGATTTCTCTCAAACAACACTGCCAACTACAAGATGGGGGATGTTCCCGTAGGGAAACTATAACTAGGAAAAATATTCCATATAATAATGTCAGGGAATAATTAGTCCTATAAAGAAATTAAAGCAGGTAGTATAAACTTGGATTGAGCGATAGCACAGTGGGTAAGGGTGTTTGCCTTACACGCGGCTGACCTGGGCATGATTCTTCCATTCCTCTAGGAGAGCCTGGCAAGCTACCAAGAGTATCCCACCCGCACAGCAGAGCCTGGCAAGCTCCCTGTGACATATTGGATATGCCAAAAACAGTAACAGCAAGTCTCACAATGGAGATGTTACTGGTGCCCACTGGAGCAAATCGATGAACAACAGGAGGACAGTGCTACAGTGCTACATTGTATCACTATCACTATCATCCCGTTGTTCATCAATTTGCTTGAGCGGGCTCCAGTAACATCTCCATTCATCCCTGTTACGTGCTAGTGTAGCCTGGTGGCATATTGGGGATTCTTTCAGGGTCAGAGGAATGAGGACCATCTGTTTTTGGCATATCGAGTACACCATGGGTAACTTGCCAGGCTCTGCCTTGCGGGTGAGATACTCTCGGTAGCTTGCCAGGCTCTCCAAGAATGATGGAGGCTTTTGAGGCAGCCTCTAATCACCTTTACAGGTGTTCCCAGTCAGGCATATATGTGGGCAGGATAATCTCGGTAGCCTACTGGGTTCTCCGAGAACGAGAACTAGACAATAAGAGGTCGCACAGCTGCGAATGCGTTCACACACTTCTGGGAGCTTGGTTTTATAGTTTCTGGATCTTGGCCATTGATGGGGTTACACGGCAGTTGGTGGGTGTTACTGTCTAGCTACTGGATGATGGGGGATCTGGGTGGAGGAGGCCCAGTCCCAAACCGAGTAGGCTTGGAGATCTCAGCCCCGGGTCCTACCCACCTGGGTTCCTCTGCCAGTTCTTTCATGCATGACACTCATTCGAGATTGTGGAGAGTGGTCTTAGCATGGCTGTGTCTGGGTTCCAGAGGTCTTCAGCTGCTATTTACAAACAATATAAACTTATTTAATTAAACATACAGTTATTATATATTAATACACTGCGTGGGATCATACAGG